TAAATAAAAAACATAAATATAGAGGTTTAACCTTGGACTAGAACCCAGGTCATCTAACTCATGATTATTTCACATCTCTATATATGTATTAATTTTCCTTAGAGAGAGTAATTACAAAGTGAATGAACTGGATGTTCTTTATTATCTATTGCCAAGGAGCTAATCATGTAAACACATTCTTCAAGTAAGGTCTCCGGCACTAATGAGTAAATGAAAACGTTCTTGAATTTTCCTAAGTTCACATCACACAAGTTTCCTATGAGGCCAGCTGCAATCAATAGGGAAGACCTCGCCTCAACTAAGTAATACAACTATAAATAGAACCTCATGCCTTTGCTAAATATTATTTCTTGGGTGTGACACTGGCCTTTATCATGAAATCTTGCTGGCATAACTGATGTCTTGGATTGGTAAAGATGGTACTTGACAGATTCTCTGAGATTTGAAGGCATTGTGCTGCATCCTCCTGTGTTATTTCCTTCCCTCCCCAAGTAGGTTGGTAGCATGTCCCCCAAGTGACTTAACAGAGTTGATTATCAACAACTTCTAGGTGTTTTTTTTTTCTTTTTTAAATTAACCTTGCTCAAAGAATGTCTGGTTTTGCCCTTGACTTCTGGAAGGTGATTTATGTCACATCTCATAATGATGTCTTTCTTTAAAGCGAAACTGACCACATCTGTCATTCTTAGGATGGTCATGTTGGAAGAACCAACAATGTAGAGGTTTGGGGTCATACCTAGAGGGTCTGGGGACTGAAGACAGATCAATCACATGGTCAGTCAATTAATGATGACTACCTAATGAGGCTTCATTGAAATCCCTGGATGGGGAAGCTCAGTTGATCTTCCCTGGTTGGTATTGCTGTGTCATCACACACAGATGCAGGAATGGTGACACAGCTGAAATCCATGGGAAGGAAGCGCAGGAAGCCTGTCTCTGGTGCCCTATTAAACCCTTCTTCAGGGTCCTCTTATTTTGGCTGATTTAATACTTCCTTTCCCTATGATAAATTATATCTGGCAGTTTTGTGAGCCCTTCTAGGAAATTATAAAATCTGAGGCCATTTGAGGGACTTCTTGAACTTGAAGTCACTGTCAGAAGTGAGGAAAGACTTAGGAAACCCCTCAAATTCTACACCTGGGATAACAATAATTTTCCAAATGGAATTGGTTTTAGCAGCTGAAGAGATGACTCAGCAATTAAGAGCATCTGCTGCTCTTCTAGAGAACTGGAGTCCCATTTCAGAGTTCAGTTCCCAGCACCAGGTCTGGCAGTTCACAACTGCCAGTAACTCCAGTTCCAGGGGATCTGACACCCTCTTCTGGCCTCTATGGCCACCTGTACACACTTGTGCATACGTACACAGACACACACAGGCACAGATGCGTGTGCACACACACACACACACACATACACACAATAAATAAACCTAAAAAACTGAAAAGTCATATGATCACCTCAACTGGTGCATAAGGAGCATCAATTAACTATATCCAAAACTAATTCTTGACACTTTTCAAACAAGGAGCAGAAGTTAAGGTGTTTTCCCTTAATGTGATCAAAGGGCTCTACTAAAACCTTATGAGTAATGTCATATTCTAAATGGGGAAAGATTGAATGATTTCCTCCCAACATTAGGAACAAACTGAAGACTTTTCATTCCACTATTCTATACATCATTTTTCTGGAGGGCCTACCCAATGCAATACAATAAGAATAATTATTTGATGTCATCCAGATAGGAAAAGAGGGATTGAAACAATATTTATTTTCTCTATAGAAAATCCTAAGAAATCTATTAAAAAGCTATTAGAACTAGTAAATTTAGGCAAGGCCCTAGGATACAAAGTCAAATTACTAAAAAAATTCTTACAATGAAAGATAAGAAATTGAAATTTTGAAAGTAATATTATGCCCCAAAGCATCAAAACCATAAAATATTTGTTGAAACAGTTTAAATATGCAAAAGGAACAGACACTGGAGGCTGTGAATCATTGCTGAACACATTCAAAGCGCAAATAAACAGAGAGATACAAAGTGCTGGTTGACCTGAAGGCTCAATATTTTTGTCATGTTAGTTATTTCCACATTTAACACCATCCCAATACAGGCACCAGAAGTCTTGTAGAAATGAACAGGTTGCTTCCATTTTACATGGAAATGTGGAGGTCCTGATGTCAAGAACCAGGAAGCATGTGAAATGCTAACCTACTTGAAAGCTAAGAAGTTAATCTGTCACCAGTTAGTAAAATGCTTTTCTTGACAGCATGAAGAATTGAGTTTAATCCACAGAATCTATGTTAAAAAATAGCAGAGCATGGTGGAACATATTGAAAATCCCAGTGCTGGGGAGCTGCTGGTGGGTTCCTGGAGCTCCCTGGGCACTCAATCTAACCTATTTGGCAAGCTCCAGGCTAGCGAGAGACTCTGTCTCAGAAAAACAAGGCAGATGGCATGTGAGGAACAACAGCCAATGTTGTTCTCTGACCTCCACATCTCATATACTATATGTTGCACTATAAAAAAAAAATTAGGTGCCTATCAAAATTACACTTGAAAATCTAAACAGACCTCTTTGAGTTTGGTTAAACAATCTATACCCTCAGGGCAATTTGGAGGAACACATAATTAATTAAATGGCAGAGTTGAAAATGCCTTCTCTAGTAGTTCTTCCTACTAGAAGAGGAAATGGAAGATTTGGTAGCCATAGACAACCCAGTTTCCTCAGACCCAGAAAACTGGACTCTGTTATGGGTAACAGATAGACCTACTTTGACTGGTAGGGAAAAGCCAATTTGGAAAATCACCAAGTCTCTTAATTAATGATTGTGAGGGGACTTGGCCTCTCTTCTCACATCCCTAGAGTAACATTCCATCATGAAATAAAGGCCAAGCTTTATGTATAATTATTACTTCTCACACAAATTGTCCTTACCGTAGAACTTATTTTCCCCTTTATTGTGACTGTTGGAACATACCAATAATGTGTGACAAGATGTTCTTGACCCACTTTTGTTTTCAATATTCCTAGTATGCAGTATCAACCAAAAAAAACACAATTCTAAAGTTTGAAAAACTCATAGCCATGAAGGAAAGTCAACTCAGAAAAGCAAAAAAAAAGCTCCAAGAGGATGCCTTGGCCTTTGAAGAGTTCCTTCGAGAAAATGACCAGAGATCTGTAGATGCCCTTAAAATGTGAGTGACTGTATTATAGCCAATTTCTTTCCCCCAGTCTTTGGTTTAGTTTCTTAGAAGACAAAACAAGCTAACAGATGCCTGTTACTTTTCAGGGCAGCACAAGAAACTATCAATAAACTCCAAATGACAGCAGAGCTCAAGAAAGCAAGCATGGAGGTGCAAGCAGTGAAAATGTGAGGGGGCGCTGTTCTCATCAAGGTCCCGCATCCCACTAAGACTCCATATGCCCAGCAAAACCCAAGTGGGAATAAATCTTATCTGTTGGTGATTTCACAAGTATGAGCAGATTTCAATGGCTGTCTCTGGCTGAGTATCTGCACATGGCCTCTCTCTGGAGAGGTCTGATTTGTAGATACAGAAGCAAAGAAATCCATTGAAAAGAAGTACAAGAAGGTTTGGAGTAAATAATATGCCTTTTTCTAACTTCCTTTTCTATTCATTTTAAGACATGCCTTGCCCCACATTTAAACATCTCAAAAAGGATTCATTTTACAATCGCCTTATACTTATTTTTTATAGTATTTTCATATTTGTGTTGGAGAGATGGCTCAGCAGTTAAGAGCACTGGCTGCTCTTACAGAGGATCCAGGTTCAGTGCTCAGCACCCACTTGGTGGCTAACAACCGTTGTAATTCCTTTCAGGGGATCTGACACCCTCTCTGTCCTTTCTGGGCATTTCATGCATACAGTGCACTTACATGAGGCAAAACAACTCATACGGGCAAAATAAAAAATAAGTTTAGCCTGTCCCATTCCTTGTCTTGGCGCCCCAGACAGCTGGGGAACTACCACTGCTTCTTCCTGATCCTGTGCGTCCAGAGCAACTCAGTTCCTTCTCAGGTCCCCAGGAGCACTGCTTCTGGGCCTGGCCCTGCCCTCATCTCCCTCTGCTTCCCTGGGCCTGCACAACCCCCCAGCCTCTTTCCTGGACTCCTGGGCTGACCTTTCCTCTTCCTGGTCCTTTGCATTCAAACCAACCAAGCTCCTCAGTGCAGTCCCCAGGGGCCCTTGGGGCTGCCTCCCACCCACAGCTTCCTTTGCATTTCCAGGTGGCATGGCCATCAGCTGCCCTAAACCAGCATTTTTCCTGAGCCTGGCTTGCAGGCCAATCCAACCCCTAAATTCCTGAGGCCAAAATCTTTCCTGGAGGGATCCAGACCTTAGGAGACTGAAAGCATATGATCCTCAAGTGACTTGGGCCTCTGTGGGAACTCCTGAAGACAAAAGCAATCTGGCCACTCCAATATAAAATCAAAAGAGAGAACCGGAAGCTTAGAGGAACCAGCTTTTCATGCCCCAAAAGTAAACCACAAAGACACATAAAGTTCACAAAAAGAAGCAGACCTCAGTGAGAACCCCCTAGACATAATGCAGGACATGGAACTCAAAAGAACAATTATAAACATGATAAAAGAATTCAGTAAACACACAAACAAAGAAATCAAAGAACTGAAGGAAGATAGGGATAAACTTCTAAATGAATTCAAAAAGCGTTAGAAATATTGAAAACTACTCAGGCTGAAATGAAGAAGGACGTGAAACACTCAGTTAGAGTCAATTAGAAACAACAGAAGAAAGCCTCACCAATAGGATGAATGAAATGGAAAACAGAGTATCAAGACTGGAAGATAAAGTGGACGAACTAGACCACTCAAGCAAAGATTATGAAAAATTTAAGAAAACACAAGAATGGAATATGCAGGAATTGTGTGACACCATAAAAAGACCAAACTCATGAATCATAGGCATACAGGAAGGAGAAGAATCCCAAGATAATGGCATGGACCAGATCTTCAACAGAATCGTGGAAGAAAATTTCCCAAAATTAAAGAAAGGCATGCCCATACAAATACAAGAAGCATATAGAACACCAAACAGACAGGACCAGAAAAGAAACTCTCCACAGCACATCATAGTTGGGGTGCCAACAACACAGCAGACAGTAGCAGGGATATCAGAGTATAAGGGTTCTAGTGGGGGGAGGGAGGCTATGGGAGGGTGCCATCTGGGAAGTGGGTGTATAGTTGAATAAGATGGTTTGGGATATTCTGTGTGATATACACACACATAAAAAAATCAACAAATTTTTTTAAATGCATTATATTTGAGGAAGAAGCATGGAAATTTATGTCATGCTAATTAGTAGAGGTGGTAAACATTACCAGTGAAATCTACCTGATGACTTTATATCCATACTCAGGTACTAAGGATCTCAGAAAGTAACTGACTGTGACTAGTAATTGCGGGGGTCTCCTGAGGAGCTCGTTTCTGTCCTGCAGACCGGTCGGGAAACTCGCCGCGGGCAAGGTCAGGGAAAGGAGAGTGCGCTCTCCTAAATGGAAATCTTTTTTTAAAGGTTAAAAAAATTCAATTTTATGTCTTACAGGGCTTATACTGAGTTCAATATTGTATAACCGTATTAATTCAACTGTGAACCTAAAAATTTACAGCCACTTTTGAAAGAGACGGGTATCCTT